GGAGAGCTAACTAAATAAAAACACCAGCAGCTGGTTTTAGTTTGAGATCCCGACTTCTCAGTTTGGGAGACTCGCTTCCAATAAAAGTCCTGCCCTCAAAGTGACCGAAACTAACTTTATACACGAACACAGAGATGTCCCTCTGTGCCCCCTGTCCGAAGAAGTGACAGTGAAGACCAAAAGAAGGGACAAGTCTTCCCCTCGCTTCCCGGAGAGACGTAGTTTTTTTTTAGCGCGTCCCAGCTAACGCTATGCTGGCTTAAGCTAGCAAGAAGACACAAACACAGCTGCTCGGTAAAAGCGGGCTCGCGCTGTGACGTACAGCGCCGTTAAAATGCAGATCCCGGTGTGAGCGCTTCTGTCCGCGAGCCCATTCTGGACGCTGCTGGCGTGTCCTCCCGGTTTATACACAGCCCTGCCTGTCGTTATTAATCCACACAGATGCGGTGTTTTCCTACTTCTCTGCAGTTTCACCGCATCCGGAAGTGACAGTTGACCGGATATGACGCAGGAAGTTTCCATTGGACAATTATGGGAAAGTTGTTATCAGCGCGGATGACGGCGCTGTAAAAGGTGACACGTTTGAACTTGATTGTTAATTTGTATCTTTAAAGATAAAGAAGCTCAATTCACGGTATTTCTCATAATCCAAGTGTCATCGCAGTTACTTGGAGACCCGCTGATTCATCAAAGATGATATGTGCTACTTACAACTAATTTTATTTGATAAAGAGCACATTGTGCCCTAATGGATCTATGTGTGATCTCAATTCAATTAACAGCTTATATCCCCTTTAATTTCTCAGTTCAGTTTTATTTATATAAAGTCAAATCGCAACAACCGTCACCTCAAGACGCTTTATATTGTAAAGATGTAAGAAAAAAATACAAAGAAAAACCAACAATCAAATGACCAGGTACTTCCCAACTGTGGGAAGGGGGGAAAAAATCCCTTTTAACAGGAAGTTTGACCATAACCAATAATTAAAGTAAATGATTTAAGCTTGTTTTGTGTCCTAAAGGAAGGTGGGTCTTCCACAGGTCAACACTCTTAAGCTGTAACTCTCCCCAACAGTTTATATTAACACACACACACACACACACACACAC